ATATGTAGTCTTGGATGTGAACTAGCCTTGTGGCCTTTGAACTTGTGCTCAGAATGTGTGGTGACGTTGTGATCCACCCTGAGCTTGCTTTGCTTTGCTTGACTGGTCTTTTGACCCCTTGTTCTCCCCCACTTTGCCTATGGGGTGTGTCAGATTTATATGCCTTAGTTGTTGTAGGCTATAGTGGGGTAGTACATATGGGGTACACATTTTCTAGGGTTTGTACTTGTACCCAACCTCCCTTAGTCAATCTCATTCTCGTTCATTATCACAATCAGGAGGCTCTCACGAACTCCCTCAAGGTCGGACTCAAGGCGTACACGGTGGAGGAAAGGAAGCGGGTAGCAGCCACAACGGTGCACCTGGAACGGGAGGTGGGGGAGCTGAGACAGAAAGTGATGAGAAGGCCACGGTGCACAAGAACGAAGGCGAGGCTGGTGAAATGCGAGGCTAAGATCAAGGCGTATGAGAATGGGAGGCTTCAGAAAATGCAAGAGCAGGCGGGCATCAAGGTGGAGATGAACGGCGAGGCTCCCACCGGGATCTTGTCTGGGAAAACCAAGGCGAGGAACGCGAAGACAAGGCTAGAGGCGGTGAACTATCAGGGGAAGCAGCACACGGGGGCGAAGGAAGCTCTTAAAGCGACATCCGAGTTTTACCTGGACCTGTTTACAGCTAAGGCAGGGCCGGGGGGCTTACCGGTGGACTTCAAACTGGAGAGAAGCTTCCCATCGGAGGATGCAACGGCGCTACGTGCACCATGGGAGGAGGAGGAAATCAAGTGGGCGCTGGCGGAAATGGCGACTGGTAAAACCCCAGGGAGAGACGGTCTCCCAAAGGAGCTCTAGGAGTCACAATGGGACCTTCTGGTCGGGCAAATGACGAAGTTCTTGAAGGAGTTTGAGCGGACGGCGGCGCTGCCGGCAGAATTTTCGTCAGCAGTGACGGTGCTTCTGCACAAAAAGGGGGACAAGGAGGATCTGCAGAATTATCGCCCGATCACCCTGTTAAGCACGGCATACAAGCTTGTGGCAAAGATTCTGGCGAACAGGATAAAGCAAATGCTCGAGAAGGTAGTGTCTACGGGGCAGTTTGGATTTCTACCTGGGTGGAACCTGGCTGGTTGTGAGGATCTGGTTCAGGAAAGATGATTCTATTGAATGAATCACCTGGGTACAAGGCGAGGCTATATATAGACTCGACACAAGGCCAGTTACCCAGGTGTTACGCGAATGTTCTGAGGGTCGCGAAGAGTCCCAAACAGAACCTTCCCGAACTCAGTAGAAAGCAATTTAGTGGGAACCGAAAAGGCTTGAGTTTGGTACACGTAACCTGGTTCGGTGCTATAACTATAATGACATATAGGAATGCACCTAACCTAGGAAATCAAGCATAAGCAAGCAAAGCAAAATAAAGCTAAGCTAGATAATGCGTAATATATTAGAATCAAGCAAGTAAAGTCCAGCAAAGTCGTCGTACTCTCACACTGGTGAAGTGGCGATTGCAGTGGATGCAATCGACGTGGCCAACTCCGGGGGAGAGGATTGGCTGCATCTGCTGGTAGACTTCAAGAAGGCGTTCGATTCCGTTTCCAGGGGGTACCTGTTCGAAGTGCTGAGGAGAATGGGGTTCCCGGATGAGTACATGAAGTGGGTTGAGGGCCTGCACCAAGGGGCGGCAACACGCATCTGCAATGATGGCTGGCTCGGGGACGAAGTGCCAGTACAGACCGACGTGAGGCAGGGCTGTCCTCTCGCGCCGTACCTATTCGTTTGTGCGGTGGAGCCTCTCTGTCAGGAAGCGCAAAGAAGGCATCTCGGTGTGGACATTACGGGGCAGGGAAGCTAACGTACCTGGGCTACGCAGACGATACTACCTTTCTGCTGAAAGGGCGAATGCAGCTTGGCATGGCGGAAAAGCTGCTCCGGGACTTCGAGCAGATGTCGGGGCTGGAGGCAAACTGTGACAAAACTGTGGTGATGCCACTCGGAAGACAGCGGGATGAGCCGCCGCTGCCGGTCTCTCCCTTCAAATGGACGGCGGGGGATGAGCCTGAGCGCCTGCTGGGGGTATGGATCACATCGGGAGGGGACGCAAAGCCATCGTGGAAAAAGGCACTGCGGAGGATGGAGACGGAGCTTAAGAAACGGGAAGAGAAATATCTTACTACGACAGCACGTGTAGCGGTGATCAATGCGTACGTCATGCCCATTGCGCCTTTTCAGGCGCAGGTATATCCCCCACCGGACACCATATGGGAGGAGCTCCGGAGGCTGTGTCACGCTTTCGTGTCTGGAGGAAGGGCGAGTGTGGGGCCCGGTTTCATACTGTGGAGCGCGGAGCTAATGCAGATGAGGAGTGATGGGGGGCTGGGGGTAATCAACCTCCGAAACCGGCTCGACGCTCGGCAGGCGGGCTCCTGATTGAGGAGTCCTCCCTAAGGAGAACCCTAGCGGAGAAGGCGGCACGCCTCCCTCTCGGCTACGTGTCATTCTATGCGCATGAGGCCCTGCTCAAGGCGTGGGGGGGGGGGGGGGAGGAGTGAGCGATGGAAGGCGATTGCGGCAGTAGTGATGGCATCCCCTATCGCCCGCGACCTGCCAAGCAAAACCAGATGGGATGTAGAGAAGGAGCAGGTTGTTCTCAACTGACACATACTACGGGGTGAGAGTTGCCCTTTTGGGAGAAGGAAGGAGGACGGATGCTTGCGTGACATCACCGTGGAGGACCTGGTGATGAAGTGGGTGGATGGCGCTCAGAGTCCTAAATTTCCGGATCAGCTAGCGCGTTTGTTGGGCAGCAAAGAGGCAGCGGCGCTAGCAGCAGTTGTGTTTGAGGCAGTACCGTTCGAATGGAAGGCTCGGGTCTTGAAAAAGCTCGGGGCGAGCGGATTCAAGAGGCAACGAGGGTGGTTCGCGCTGTGGGCCACCGAGAACAACTGTGGTGGATAACTGAGGTGTGTGGCAACATGTTAAGATGTGCAAAGATGTGGCGGCGAGATGACGGAGCGTCCTGGTTCGTGCCAGAGGGAGCGAGTACCTGCCTACTATCGGTGTCTGCACTCACGCCGCTTGCAATGGCGGGAGAGAAGGTGGCAGGGGAGCTGGGTGACCCTCGCGTTAGGCTGTTGGGAACAGACCTCTGTGTGGGAGACATCGTCGCCTCCCTGAGGCAGCTGAGAGCAGAGCTGGAGGAGGAACATGTGGGGCAGCACGTCCGTCAAGAGAAATGGGAGAGAAGTTGGGGAAGCGAATCAACTGCGAAAAGACAATTGCGCGTAGGGGCTCGCATGTCATCCCCGCAAAAGCTCGGGATGTCCTGCTGCACGCGCACTATTCCAACTTGCAAGTGGGGGACCGCCTAAGATTCCTGGGGGAGCGGGTGAAATGCCCACATTGTGGGGAGGCGGAAACGGTGGACCACGCGCTATTCTCCTGTCGGGTTATCCAGCCGGTGGTGCAAGCGCTGATCGGTGCCATCCGCTGGCTAAACCCGTCGAGGAAAGTGAAATCGTTGGGGGATCTGATGTTTCAGCGGGGGGGCACATCCTCCGATTTCCCGGAGCTGACGGTGTCAGCAATCACGTTTCACCAATTATGGGTGGCGCGTTGCCACGCGGTCTTCAGAGGAAAGAAACTCCGGTGCGGAAAGGTGATGCGGAGGATTGCGACTGCTTTCTGCTTGCATGCGCGGACCTACGAGGGCATCAAGAGGAAAAAAGCTTGGGCGAAAAAGCGACACGTGGCCAAGAAACACCTGGCGAGAGACGAGATCATGGCACTGGAGAACATCAGCACGCGGTTAGGCAACAAGCTTATGTGGCGAGAGGATTTCATGTCAGCACGTGGTTGGATGAAGAGGAGAGCTAGATTTAAGCCACCGTAGATGTTGATGGGGGTGACTCATGACACCGTGTGCATTTGTCCCCCCTTTTGAAACAGTTACGACTGTGGTTGTATTCGCTGTATCCTTGATATAGTGGAACGCCTTCTATAAAAAAAAAAAAAAAAAAAAAATCCCTTCAAAAGCAATCGCATCCAAAGTTCCATTCCCCACTATCTCATACTGTCAAACTCATAGGCTATAGTCTGTGTAGGCTATAGTGGGGTAGACAATATGGGGTACAACACTTTAAGGTTTTCCTACTTGTACCCACCTGCTTGCTAGTTCATTCATTCCTCATTTCTTCACATGGTATAGAGCACGTTCCCTAGTGGGAACTTTTCCTAGGGCCCACCACTGAAAATCGAGTTTTTTTTATTTTTTCTGCCCTGAGATCGAGTCGCCCCTGACCGAGGCGCGCCCTGTGTGCCGCCCTCCTCTTAGCAACCCATCGCGCCGCCCTTAGCGGCCCCCCCTCTCACGGCCCCTCGCGACCCCGTCGCCGCCCCCTAGCGGCCCGTCGCGCCGCCCTGAGCGGCCCGTCGCGCCGCCCTCAGCGGCCCCTTGTGGCCCCACCTCCACGGCCCCGTCGCCACCCTCTCGCGACTCCGTGGCCGCCGTTCACGGCCCCGCCGCCGCCCTTAGCGGCAGCGTCGCCGCCCATCGCGGCCCTGCAGCCGCTCCTCGCGGCCTCGTCGCCGCCCTCTCGCGGCCCCAGTGCCGCCCTCTCGCGGCCGCGTCGCTGCCCTCTCGCGGCCCCGGTGCCGCCCTCTTGCGGCCTCGTCGCCGCCCGTAGCGGCCCCGTCGCCGACCCTTGCGGCCCCTCCCCGGCCCCTTCACCGCCGAGCCACCGAGCCGCCAAGCAGCCGAACCGCCGAGCCGCCGAGCCGCCGAACCGCCGAGCCACCGAGCCGCCGAGCCGCCGAGCCGCCAAGCAGCCAAGCCGCCGAGGCCGCCGTCGAGCCGCCACTACCGAGCCGCTGCCGCCGAGCCGCCGTCGAGCCACTACTGCCACTGCTGAGCCGCTGCCACCGCGGTTGCAGCCCTGTTCCTACCGACGCGCCCCGGCCCTACCCACCCGGACGAGTGAGAGCACTCCATGCTAGACCACTGCTGTCATGGCTACCCCCAGTGTCCTTACCTTTGATGCTGAGGGTCGTGCTGTTGACTTCGAGGTCTGGGTTGATGACCTACAACTCTTCCTACAGTGCGATAGGGCAAACGGACTCTCCCTGTTCCATCTCACCTCTGGTGCCTCCCCTACCCCGCCTGCTGATGCTGATAGCAATGTTCGCTCACAGTGGGCCACACGCGATGCTGCTGCCCGTCTTGCTGTGCGTCGCCACTTACCGACCGCTGAGCGTGCGCACTCTAGTCAGTACAAGAGTGCTCAGACCTTGTACGACGCTGAAGTTGCACGCTACTCTTCCCCTGCCACTACTGCTCTTAGCCGCCTCATACTGCCGTACCTGTTCCCTGACCTTGCTGCCTTTCCCACAGTCGCTGACCTCATTACACACCTTCGCACTAGTGACACTCGCTACCGCGCTGCGCTTCCTGCTGAGTACTGTGCCAAGAACCCTCCCCCCATGTACATCACCCTCTACTACATAGTCACCCAGCTCTCTGACTCCCTTCGCTTAGTCAGGGACCACTTCCTCTCAGTTTGCCCCACCACACTCACCGTTAACCTCCTCGAGGAGCGTCTCCTGGCAGCAGAGAAGAGCATAGTCGCTGTAGGAGCCTCTCGTAGTGACCCTCGTAACCAAATCTTTGAGGGGTGTTCCCCCTCCCCCCTCTTGCCCTCTGTTGCTTCTGCTGCTGCGGCCGACCTCGTTGGCTTCGAGTCGGTCGGAGCTGCGTCTGCCCCTAGCGGGAGACGCCGCACCGGCAAGGGCAAGGGGGGCAGGGGCGCTGGAGGGGCTGGCAGGGGCGGTGGAGGTGGCGGTGGAGGCAGTGGAGGGGGTGGGGGTGGTGGTGGGAGTGGTGGCGGGGGTGGAGGTGTCGGTGGCAGTAGTGGAGGCGGAGGAGGCGGCGGCGGTGGCGGTGGGAGCAGAGGCGACGGAGGTGGCGGAGGCGGCGGCGGCAGTGGTGGAGCTGGTCGCGGCTCTGCGCAGAGGAGTGGCTCCGGTGGTGGTCCGCGCCAGCTGCAGCAGTGCACTCGTGAGATCCGTCCCCCCAGCAGCTTCCTGAGTGGTACACTGGGCGTCAGCGATGTGGGGGTACTGGTCCCTGTACCTACGTCCTCTGTACCGGCGACCGCGCTGGTGAGAAGTGAGGGGGCTCGCACTCCACCGAGCGCTGCTTCGGCCGCCTCACGGACGCTTGGCGTCACCAGTTCCCTGACGCCACTGAGATCCCTCGCTGGGGAGAGCTGTCTAGGGCGGGGGTCGCTATCTTTGATCTTGACTATGATGCTATACTTGCTGCCATGTATGCTGTGTCTGCTAGTGATGAGGGCAACTGTTACTTGTGTGTTCCGCCTGACCCGGGCATTGGGACTGCTGCTCTAGGTGCTGGTGAGGCTGCTGCTCTAGGTGCTGGTGAGTCTGCTCTCTCAGGTACCACGTCGGCTCAGGCCTCCCACACCTTCACCCTTGACTCGGGTGCTTCCCGCTCCTTCTTTCGAGACCGCACCACACTCACGCCGCTTAGTCGGCCAGTGGCGGTCTCCTTGGCAGACCCCTCCGGGGGTCCTGTCCTTGCCCTCTTCTCCACTGTCTTACCGTGTCCGGCGGCCCCCTCTGGCACCCTGTCAGGTCTTTACCTCCCCTCGTTCTCTACGAACTTGGTGAGTGGTGCAGATCTACAGGATGGAGGGGTTCACCAGTTCACTCCTGCGAGCCAGCGAGTGACCCACTGCACGTGTGCTCGGACAGGCCGACACTTGGCCACGTTTACCCGTCGACCGGGGTCGAGCCTGTACACACTGACTACTGGTCCTCCTCAGTCTACTGCGTCTGGTCAGCTAGCTGCGTCGGGTCAGGCGTCTGCTGCGACGTCCAGGTCTGGTCCCTGCTCGTGTCGTCTCCTGTCTCATCAGACTCTCCTCTGGCACCACCGCCTTGGTCACCCCTCCCTGCCTCGTCTCCGAGGCATGGCCTCCCGTGTCCTTGTCTCTTGTCTCCCCCGGTCTCTCCCTCCCCTCCCTCCGGGGCCTGCCCCTACTTGCGCTCCCTGCCTCAAGGGGCGGCAGCGCGCCGCCCCTCACTCCTCCGAGTTTCCTCCGACAGAGGCTCCGCTGCAGACTCTTCACATGGACGTGTGGGGCCCTGCCCGCGTCCGTGGCCAGGGTCACGAGCGTTACTTCCTGTTGGTAGTTGACGACTACTCGCGTTACACCACGGTGTTCCCCTTGCGCAGCAAGGGTGACGTCACTGAGGTGTTGATCGACTGGATCCGCGCAGCTCGTCTCCAGCTCAGAGAGAGTTTCGGCTCGGACTTTCCTGTTCTGCGTCTGCACTCTGACAGAGGCGGGGAGTTTTCCTCTGCCCTTCTGGGAGCCTTCTGTCGTGCACAGGGCATCCGCCAGACCTTCACACTTCCGGCCTCTCCACAGCAAAATGGGATTGCTGAGCGCCGCATTGGCATGGTCATCGACGTCGCTCGTACGTCCTTGATCCATGCGGCTGCTCCCCATTTTCTGTGGCCGTTTGCGGTTTAGTACGCAGCGCATCAGATCAACCTTCAGCCCCAGGTCTCTTTGCTAGAGACCTCCCCCACCTTGCGGTGGACGGGGAAGGTTGGCGATGCGACTGCGTTTCGTGTCTGGGGATCTCGGGCTTTTGTCCGCGACTTGTCTGTGGACAAGCTATCCCCCCGTGCGGTTCCCTGCGTCTTCCTTGGCTTCCCCCATGACGTGCCTGGTTGGCAGTTTTACCACCCCTCCTCGCGCCGTGTTCTGTCCTCCCAGGACGTCACGTTTGACGACTCGGTTTCTTACTGTGAAGAATTGAGGAGTGAAGAAGAGAGGGTTCACTAGCAAACATTGGGATGTCAGAACATATAGCTCATACAAATTGTGTAGGCTATAGTGGGGTAGCCCATAAGGGGTACAACCCAATTAGGGTTAGTACTTGTACTCAATTCATTCATAGTTCATTCATTCTCGTTTCAACTTTCTCATGGTATCGAGCAGGTTCCCTCGTGGGAACTGTTCCTAGGGCCCACCAACTCGACTTTTTTTTCCTGCCCGGAGCGCGCTCAGCCTTAGCCCGAGTCGCGCTCCCCCTTTTTTTTTTCTCGCCCCGTCGCGCCGCCCTAGCGGCCCTGTCGCCTGCCTTGCGGCCCTCGCGCCGCCCTTCTTGGCCCCGACCCGCCGCCCGGCGGCCTCGTCGCCTACCCCGCGGCCATCGCGCCGCCCTTTCCCGGCCCCGATCCGCCGCCCTACGGCCTCGTCGCCCACCCCGCGGCCCTCGCGCCGCCCTGCGGCCCTGACGCCGCCCTTACGGGCACCTACCTGCTGGCCCCGCCACCTACCTGTGCGGCCCCGCCACTTACCCGCGGCCCCGCCACCTACCTGCCTGCGGCCCCGCCACCTACCCGCGGCCCCGCCACCTACCTGTGCGGCCCCGCCACTTACTCGCGGCCCCGCCACCTACCTGTGCGGCCCCAACACCTACCTGCTGGCCCCGCCACCTACCTGCGGCCCCGCCACCTACCAGCGGCCACGCCACCTGCCTGCGTCCCCGCCACCTACCCGCGGCCCCGCCATCTACCTGTGCGGCCCCGGCGCCTACCTGCGGCCACGCCACCTACCTGCGGCCCCGCCACCTACCTGCGGCCCCGCCACCTATCTGTGGCCCCGCCACCTACCTTTGCGGCCCCGCCGCCTCCTCTCAGCGGCCCCGCCGCCTCCTCCCAGCGGCCTTGGACGCCGCCCTCTCAGCGGCCCAGCCGAGCCGCCCAGCGGCCGAGCCGCCCAGCGGCCAAGCCGCCCAGCAGCCGAGCCGCCCAGCAGCCGAGCCGCCCAGCAGCCGAGCCGCCCAGCAGCCGAGCTGCCCAGCCGCCGAGCCGCCCAGCAGCTGAGCCGCCCAGCAGCCCTGCAGCCGAGCCGCCGAGCCGCCCAGCAGCCGAGTCGCCGAGCCGCCCAGCAGCCGAGCCGCCAAGCAGCCGAGCCGCCGAGCCGCTCAGCTGCCGAGCCGCCGAGTCGCCCTGCAGCCGAGCCGCCCGAGCCGCCCTGTCCGGTAAGAGCAGCGCCTTCTTCACAGCACTGCCCTCACCCTACTGTTTGCTCTGCTAGTCTACTGCTGTCATGGCTACCCCTAGTGTCCTCGCTTTTGACGCTGAGGGTCGGGCCATTGACTTTGACGTCTGGATAGATGACCTGCAGCTTTTCCTACAGTGCGATAGGGCAGACGGCCTCTCCCTCTTTGACCTCACTTCTGGTGCCTCTCTTGCCCCCGGTGCTGATGCTGACGCCACTGTTCGCTCACAGTGGGCCACACGCGATGCTGCTGCACGTCTTGCTGTGCGTCGCCACCTGCCTACCTCTGAGCGTGCGCACTCTAGCCAGTACAAGAGTGCTCAGACCTTGTACGACGCTGTAGTTGCACGCTACTCCTCCCCTGCCACTGCTGCACAAAGCCGCCTCATGCTACCGTACCTCTTCCCTGACCTAGCTGCCTTTCCCACAGTCGCTGACCTCATTACGCACCTCCGCACTAGTGACACTCGCTACCGCGCTGCGCTTCCTGCTGAGTTCTGCGCCAAGAACCCCCCCCCCCCATGTACATCACCCTCTACTACATAGTCACCTGTCTCCCTGACTCCCTTCGCGTAGTCAGGGACCACTTCCTCTCAGTTTGCCCCACCACTCTCACCGTTGACCTCCTCGAGAAGGCCCTCCTAGCAGCAGAAAAGAGCATAGTAGCTGTAGGAGCCTCTCGTGGTGACCCTCGCACCCCCATCTTTGAGGGGTGTTCCCCCTCCCCTCTTTTGCCCTCTGTTGCCTCTACTGCTGCGGTCGACCTCGTTGGTCTGGAGTCGGTCGGTGCGGCGTCTACCCCTAGTGGGAAGCGTCGCTCTGGCAAGGGCAAGGGGGGCAGGGGCGCTGGAGGAGCTAGCGGGGGCGGTGGAGGCGGCGGTGGAGGCAGTGGAGGGGGTGGGGGTGGTGGTGGGAGTGGTGGCGGGGGTGCAGGTGTCAGCGGCGGCAGTGGAGGCGGAGGCGGCGGCGGCGGTGGCGGTGGGAGCGGAGGTGGTGGAGGTGGCGGAGGTGGAGGAGGCGGTGGCGGAGGCGGAGGAGGAGGAGGTCGTGGCTCTTCGCAGAGGAGTGGCTCCGGTGGTGGTCAGCGCCAGCAGCAGCAGCGCAGTCGGGAGACCCTGTCCCCTCAGCAGCTCCGTGAGTGGTACGCTGCACGCCAGCGGGGTGGGGGTACTGGTCCGTGCACCTACGTCCTGCGCATCGGCGACCGTGCGGGTGAGCGGTGTGGGGGTGCGCACCCCACCCAGCGCTGCTTTGGCCGCCTGACGGATGCTTGGCGTCACCAGTTCTCAGAGGCCACTGAGATTCCTCGCTGGGGCGAGCTGTCTAGGGCAGGGGTAGCTATCTTTGACCTTGACTTTGATGCTATTCTTGCTGCTATGTATACTGTGTCTATTAGTGAGGAGGGTGACTGTTACCGGTGTTTCCCGCCTGACCCGGGCGTTGAGACTGCTGCTCTAGGTGCTGGTGAGGCTGCTGCTCTTGGTGCTAGCGAGGGTGCTGCTCTAGGTGCTAGTGCGTCTGCTTCCTCCGGTACTGGTGAGTCTGCGCTATCAGGTACTGCGTCGGCTTCGGCCTCCCACACCTTCACACTTGACTCGTGGGCTTCTCGCTCCTTCTTTCGAGACCGCACCACACTCACGCCGCTTAGTCGGCCAGTTGAAGTCTCCCTGGCAGACCCCTCTGGGGGTCCTGTCCTTGCTCACTTCTCCACTGTCCTCCCGTGTCCGGCGGCCCCCTCTAGCACCCTGTCTGGTCTTTACCTCCCCTCGTTCTCTACAAACTTGGTGAGTGGTGCTGACCTACAGGATGCGGGGGTTCACCAGTTCACTCCTGCGAGTCAGCGGGTGACCCACTGCACGTGTGCTCGGACAGGCCGACACCTGGCCACGTTTACACGTCGGCCGGGGTCGAGCCTGTACACACTGACTACTGCGTCTCCTCCAGTCCCTGCGTCTGGTCAGGTAGCTGCGTCGGGTCAGGTGTTAGCTGCAGCGTCCAGGTCTGGTCCTGAGTCTGCCCCCTGCTCGTGTCGCCTCCTGTCTCACGAGACTCTCCTCTGGCACCACCGCCTTGGTCACCCCTCCCTGCTTCGTCTCCGAAGCATGAACTCCCGTGTCCTTGTCTCTGGTCTTCCCCGGTCCCTACCTCCCCTTCCTCCGGGGCCTGGCCCTACCTGCGTCCCCTGTGTCGAGGGGCGGCAGCGGGCTACCCCTCACTCCTCCCAGTTTCCTCCGTCAGAGGCCCCGCTGCAGACGCTTCACATGGACGTGTGGGGCCCAGCCCGCGCCCGTGGACAGGGTCACGAGCGCTACTTCATGCTGGTGGTTGACGACTACTCGTGTTACACCACAGTCTTCCCCTTGCGCAGCAAGGGTGATGTCACTGAGGTGTTGATCGACTGGATCCGCGCAGCTCGTCTCCAGCACAGGCAGAGCTTCGACTCGGACTTTCCTGTTCTGCGTCTACACTCGGACAGAGGCGGAGAGTTCTCCTCTGGCCTTCTGCGAGCCTACTGTCGTGCACGAGGCATCCGCCAGACCTTCACGCTTCTGGAATCTCCACAGCAAAATGGGATTGCTGAGGGCCGCATTGGCATGGTCATGGACGTCGCCCGTACGTCCATGATGCATGCGGCTGCCCCCCATTTTCTGTGGCCGTTTGCGGTTCGGTACGCGGCGCATCAGATCAACCTTCAGCCCAGGGTCTCCGTGCCGGAGACCTCCCCAGCTTTGCTGTGTACCGGGAAGGTTGGCGATGCGTCTGCGTTCCGTGTCTTGGGATCTCGAGCGTTTGTCCGCGACTTGTCTGCGGACAAGCTGTCCCCTCGTGCTGCTCCTTGCGTCTTCCTGGGTTTCCCTCCTGACGCGCCAGGGTGGCAGTTCTACCACCCCACCTCTCGCCGTGTTCTGTCCTCCCAGGACATCACGTTCGACGAGTCGGTCCCCTACTACCGTCTCTTCCCCTACCGCACTCCGTCCCTCCCCCTGCCACCGCTCTTCCTAGTGCCAGGTCCCCCCCCCGGTAGACCCCCTCCCCCCTAAGGGTCCTGCCCCTTCATGTGTGTCCCAGGTAGACGCTGTTGAGCCTGTGGAGGTCGCTGGTGACTCTGGTGCTGCTGAGGGTGCTGAGCCTGGGGGTGCTGACTCTGGGGGTACTGAGCGTGAGGGAGATAGGCCTGGGGGTGCTGAGCCTGAGGGTACTACGACTAGGGGTGCTGAGCCTGGGGGTGCTGCGTCTGGGGGTGCTGAGCCTGGGGGTGCTACGCCTGGGGGTGCTGAGCCTGGGGGTGGTGAGCCTGGGGGTGCTACACCTGGAGGTGCTAAGACAAGGGGTGCGGAGCCTGAGGGAGCTGGGCCTGCTCGGGTGGCGTCTGGCGGTGCTGTGCCTGGTGGTTCTCCTGGTACTTCGTCTCGCCGGGAGCCACTCTCTCCACAGGAGCTGCGTGAGTGGTTTGCCCA